ATATAAAAATTTATATAAAATTAATTAAAAATATCTTAATTAATAAATATTAGCTTGTATCTTTAATGTACATATTAGAGTAACCAAAAAAAAAAAAACAAAATTCGAGGGTTATGATTTTTCATGTTTTTTATCTGAAATATTATTGGTTTTCTGATTTACTTTTTAAACCTTTTTTTTTTCATGTTGATTCTGCAGAAAACGGAGCACATCACTTCCATGAGTTTAAAGATTGTTATATATGGTTTTGTTTAATGGGTTTTTCTTCATTTGAATTTATATATATTACATTATCTTATTTTATTTATTAGCTAAAAAGAAACTTAATAATGATTAATTTTTCTAAAATACTTTCAAATTTTCTTTTCTTGGATTAGAAATTGAATGAACTATGGAATTTTTATTGATATGTTGAAATTTTATAGATATTACTATGTTAATTTTTGTTTTGATATTGTTGATAATTATATGAGTTTTATGAGATTTTACTTGATTTTATTATATATATAATTTTCATTATTTTTATTTTTTGTATAGGAAATGATTGAATGGGAAGAGATTAGAACTTTTATAACCAAACTGAAGACATAAGAATTTTCAGCATCAAAGTGTCGACTTAATAAAAGATGAGGGATTAAAACAGTTTTACCAATGAAGAACCCGAAATCGTACCTTTGCCCAATGATCCCGATCCTGACCCGGAGTTTGTTTCAAGGCACCGGCGAAGGTGGCGGCACTCTGCCTTAGCGTACTTTTCAGTTTAGGTGTCGCCTTCTTGGGCAATTTTCACCACGTCTTCACCAAGTCATTATTTTGGTGCGAGTCTTTTCTGTATTCCAATTAAGGTTTTTTACGCTTTTATAAATCTTCATTCAATTTCAGAGTTGGGAGGCTCTTTGAAAGTTTTTTGGAAGTTCTTTCAAAATTCTTTTGAATTTTTTGGGCACTTAGAGACCTAATTAAGGGCAGTAAAAATTTATCAAATAATAAAAAATTAAGTGAGTCAATATTTTTAAATTGAATTTTGTTTTTTAATGTTTTTAATTTTTTTAATTTTAAATTTATTCTTTGTTTTAGCATGAATTTTTTATTCATAATTATAACTTTAAATTTTATTATTTTTATTATGAATTAATATAGTTAACTAAGATTATGATGTAATATATCAATTTAATATGAATTTTTATGATTTTTATATTTTTGAAATTATTATTTAATAATGAATATATATTATTTTTTTAATGTTTTTAATGTTTTTTAATGCTTGATCACAAATAAAATTATTATGGAAAGTATAATTGATAATGAGATGAGATTTTATACAATAAATTTGAATAATATATATCATAAATTGAATGAAAACTAGAGATGAACTAATGTAATTTGTGTGAATAGTGGATTTGAAAGTTTTTTTCATATATTAAAAAATTTCATAGAATGTAATAAATTTATATATATTTAAATTTATGTAGAGATATAATGGTTAATAATTAATACATAATAATATGTTTGATATAATTTGAGAAAGTATATCGAATAAAATATTATTAATAAATATTTTGAAAGTATAATAATTTGAAATTTATGTTGATTGATTATGGTGAAATCAAATGCTTTTATACTTCATATCTTGATAAATTTTTATTTAAATTGTCATTTTCTTTTAAAAGTTTAATTTTTTTTCTTTTTATTTGTTCAAATAATTTTATAATTAGTTATTTTCAGTATTTAATTAATCACAATTTTTATAAGACCAATACTCTATTTATTATTTTATTACTTGAGTAACTAATGACAATGAATTTTAGCATATCATTTATATGCTTTAGCGATGATTCTTCATACTTGTAGATGCCCTCATTCCTTGCCTAAAAATTACCCATTATTAAAAATTTCAAGTAGGGATCCCCATACTTGTTAAGAGTGGTGATAAAAGGAAAATTTTTTGTATCATATTTTTATACAAGTTTTATATATCATTAAATGAATAGATGTGTTAATGGATAATAGAAACCAAAAACGTGATGGAAACAAGAAGAGTAAGACGAAGAGGCGGATCGGCTAGATGGACGAAATGGAGTTGGGAGGATGGCTTCAATCGCAAAAGAGATCGACGAAACTGGCGAGATACTTCTGCAAGGCATCAAAGAAGAGAAAGACAAAATGTTGGTGGTTACAACCAAAACTTGTAAAGGCAAGCCATTTCTTTCTACTTCTCCAACTTCCCTAATGATTGGAGCTATGAGGATATGTGGAAGATGTTTAAAAAGTATGGTAGGGTATATGCAATTTATGTACCAGAAAGAAGGAACAGAGCTAGTGATCAGTTTGGCTTCATGCATTTTTTGGAAGTAACTGATGAGAAAAAACTAGAGTGACAATTGGGCCAACTTTGGATTGGCAATAAAATGCTACATGTGAACTCACCCTATTTAGCAAGAGGAATAGTGATTTTCATTAAGAAAGGAAGAGTGAGGCATCTCAAGTTAAACTAACAAAATCTTATGCCGAGGCTCTAATGGGTGGGACATTCTTGAAAAAAGAATCACA